TGTTACAGCGTGTAAAGGATTGCTACTAACATCAACTCTCAACAGTTGATACAACAAAATGACCATATCGATAAACTAAATTGATTCATGATGTCCATGTCACATTGTATCAATAGAAAACAGAAATCAATCGAGCTTTACATGGTTTGATGATCTAAAATGTGAATAAGATGGAAACGTGGGTGTATATATGTGGGTGTTTCCTTCAATGACTAGAGCTGAATGAGCGACTTCGGGTTCTGACATGTCGAGTGGGCGATAACAGCAGTCGACATAAATGGAGATGAATGAATGACATCGAATCAATGTTAGGTTTGTAAAAACTACTTGTAAAGATGAATACAAAATAAATACATATACTTTACAAGGGTTAACAGGAAACTGATGTAAGATAACAAAGTCCGTTTGATTAGAAAAGAATTTCGAAAAATCGTAAATCTCGATCTTTGAATGAATCAAGTTATTATCATGATACGATGTGATCTATGCAGAACTTAGAGCCTTTTCCGTGCTCAGTGTGGAACGCCGGTTGACAGAGCGGGTATATGAGCTGTCCTGGACGGGGGAGTACCGGGCGCACGGGGCCAGCAGGCATAGCCATAGGGAACGGAAGTGCCGCACCGTGCTGAAATTGATGTCTGGCGTGTTGCTGGAGGGCTTCTAGCGCAGGGTAACGGGCCAGTGGTATCGGGCAACAGCCAAACCCGGGAAACGGTGATCGAGAAGGGATACGAGACCCCGGGTAAATAGAGTTCCACATCGGGATCATGCTCCGGGCGAACCCTGCAGGTATCATACGACTCATGAGAGGAGGGGTTCCAGCCGCAGCCGCGTTTGCTGCATCTCGGATACGCTGATCTACCACGGCACGTAACGATGACGACTTTGGAATACTCACCGATTCATGGATTTCTTTGCAGTCACTTTCATTCAATGTCATCTCAACATCATCATCATCATCATTATCTCGACTATCATCGTCTTCCCCGAGAATGCTATCAATGCTGAAAGGTCCAGAAAACTTTGAAATCTTTTGTCTCTCCCTTCTTGCAATCTCCTTTTCACGACGTTCTTGATTTTTCTGATTTTGTGCCGCTCGTTTCGATATCCGCTTTCGTCGACGTCGAAAGACTCCATCAGCGAAGGTGTATTCGCTGCTCTCATTGATTGTCCAGTAGTTATCTTTACCCCATGGTCTCGATGGATCCCGGAGTATCTTACGAAAGCATTCATTCAAAGAAAGATTGTGTCGAACTGAGTTTCTCCAACCGGTGTAGCTACCACGGAAGAAAGGAAACTTCTTCATCAAGTATTCATTGATCTCAGCTAGAGTTAGTTTCCCATGGCCCGAATCACGAATTGCCATGGCAATCAAAGCAATGTAAGAAAATGGTGGTTTAGGATGGCGGTGATACGTCGGTTTTCCCTTAGGTTTTGGTAGCGTTGTTGTGGATGTTGTTAGTGGAATGCTTATATCAGCGTTGTTGGTTAGCTTGCCATTGTTCGGCATTGCCGTCATCGAATCGCGATACGACTCCCCTCGCTCGGGAAATGACATTGAAGTACGAAACCTCTCTTCTCGTTCCGACATCGTCGTCATCGCTTCGCGAAATCGTTCCTCGTGGTTCGAATACGATACGGTAGACTCTCGAAGAACTTCCTCATGCTCGATAATGTCTGTGCCTTTTCTTGACGACGACGATGTCGACGTATTCGTCATTAATTCGTCATCACCGTGAGACTCGATAACGTCTTCGGCTGGGCACCAAATCACGGTCTCGCGAGCTCGAATACTTAAATCTTCGGGAATATTAGAATCGTCCATATTGTTGATGTAACACCTGTCTTCAATTATTGATGGACTAAACCTTGTAAAAGATTCATTTTTTCCCACACATGCCATTTTGAGATAAATAAATCTTTTGTTTCCAGAAATGTTTAATGTGATAAAATTCGTAATTTAGGAGTCAGTCTGATATATCTTTTCTTCAAATAACTTCTGGAAACACTGTCTAAAAGAAGTTCACAAAAGTTGATATTTCTCCCTCAAAAGTGTGCTGAATTGTTTTCCAGTCGCGAGATATTTCGGTGAGTTTGAATTTATCAACAATCATTCCAGATAATTAGGAGCTTTTGAACTTCGGAGAGATGAAAAAGATATCATCGCTAACCCGCAGGTAAAAACAAATTCTAAGAAGTGCCTGGGAGAAAAACGTTTCAGAGACGATTGTAAGATTTAACTTGAATGCTTAAAATAATGTTGGTGGGTCATCCTTGACTTAACCCAGTCCAAGATGATATCCCTCACACTCCTCCGATAAATGTTCTCGAGAGCGAAAGAAACAAGTTTGGAAAAAGAGAGGGACTGCCCTTAGGAGTTTAAGTAGGCACTCAATATATAAGGGGAGCCTTCGCCTTTAGATTAACGCCCGGTAGATGGACCAACAATGCTTCATGCCAGTCTCAAGTTAGAGATGAGGAGAGGAAGAAAAGCACTTTTTCTTGGATGCTCGCACACTCGATGATTCAAGCAGGCACGCAAGCAGTAGCACGCAGACGCACACACACACAATCTCTGTTTGTTCTAAGACAACGCAAGAAGCCAATAAGAAAGCGGTGATTAGATGTGTGTATATTCCACCGTCTACCGTCTCTCTCTCTCTCTCTCTCTCTCTCTCTCTCTCTCTCTCTCTCTCTCTCTCACTCTCTCTCTCTCTATTTTCTTCTCTGTCTTCCTTTTAAAATCTCCGTCACCGCATTCAGAGGCACTTTTTTCTTCTTCTCTTTTATACATCGCGCCAATACACTGTACTAGCTGGTCGCTACTATCTTCCGTTTGCTTTGTCATGTTACAAGCACATGCGTCTTGAAAAGAGGTAGCGATCTTTTGTTTTCTTGAATTTATTCTTTACCCCTCCCTTACTCAGTTTTCTCCCTCTCTCTCTCTAACCTACTCCCCATCTCTCTCCCTATCCCTTCTTTCTGTCACGCTATCTTCCCCATCCCACTCCTCTCCCGCTCTTTCTTTCTTTCTTACTCTCAAAACATATTGAAACGTGCACACAAAAAACGCATGTGAATCATACTATAATTTGTTGTAATGTTCGCTCTTTTTTTTTTGTGTGTGTGTGTGTGTGTTTGTGGGTGTCTCTTTTTTGCAAGATTTGGTATCATGAAATTGTCAAGATTATGATTATGTAATTGTGACCTTTCTAAATTATTCTGGGAACTTGTCAGGTCTTCTATTAATATTCTTGCATCTTGCAACCTCCTCCCCCTCCTTCTCTCTCTCTCTCTCTCTTCTTTCTCTCTATCTATATCCTCCTATCCCTTATTCCTTCTCTGTCTGTCGCTCTTATGTTCACACTAACTCTCGCCATCATATCTCTCTCTCTCTCTCTCTCTCTCTCTCTCTCTCTCTCTCTCTCTCTATTATATGTATATATATATATATATATATATATATATATATATATATATACATACATAATACATAAAATTACTGTATAATATGTATTTATACATCTCCTTTTCCTCATTCTTTCTCTGTCTGTCACTCTTACTTTCACACTCACTCTCTTCATCATATTTTTCGGGTCTTTTTCTTCTCTCTCTGTCTCTCTGTCTGTCTGTCTCTGTCTGTCTGTCTCTTTCTTTTTGTTGTCTTTCTCTCTCTCTTTCTCTCTCTCTCTTTCTCTCTCTAAATATATATATATATATATATATATATATATATATATATATACGTGTCTCTCTCTCTCTCTCTCTCTCTTTCTCTTCTCATCTCCTACAGATTCCAAAGGAGGTTGTAATAATTTATTTTTAGGAGACAAGACATTTCTGCGTCCGTTTCATTATCTATTATAGCTCCCCCTCTCTGCATCGCTCATTGTAAGACTCCTTTCCCACTCTCCGCCGTTCTATTTCACTCTTCTTCTCAATCCGTTCGCTCTGAGAATGTCACAATTCCTTCCCGCTTCATTGCCAGTTATTGATTGTGCCACTGAATTCCAACAATTAGTCAATCAAAGCGAGATATTATTCAATTCAAGGTTATATTTGCGTCCTTCCGCATTCAAAGCATTTCATAAATTGGTATCTATTAAGAAATTCTTGCTTAAAAATAACCGTTGATATTTCCTACCTCTTGGCGATTACCAATAATCATAAATTCCATTGATTTGAGTCCGTAGGTTTAAATGAATCTATATTAATAATATTTAATTTTAATTTTTACTTTTGCAACTCTCCTGTGAGCTGCTTGATTTGTATTGTTTAAACATTGAGTATATAATTATATTACATCAAGGCCTTGAAACATTTCGTAGGTGTGTTGTCACAGCATTGTCATGGATTTGTTACTGTTCGCATGGAAGACCAGCCCTCTTCCTCATTGTAACGCCCAATAGCTTTTGTTTATATTTCACTTCAGCACAGTATTGTTTGTTTGTGTTTTGGTTTGCTTTAAAGGAACTATGTCCCATTTGCGGGCCAAACAAATGAAAAAGTTAAATTCCAACTGCATTTGAAAGATAATACTAATTTGGAACATCCCTAAAAAAGGTGGGGCTTGAAAATGTCTTCAAGTGGGAAAATAACGACTATTATTTGTCAAATCGACTTTAGGGCTATAGAGCCCAAAAGTAATAGTCTTGATTTTCAGACAATTATTGTTGGTCATACGTTTTATGCTGCGCAAAGATTCAATTAGTTTAATCTTGGCCATCACAAGAAGTGGGTTATTGATGTAGACAAATGCTCATGTACCCTTTACAACTCTTTTCATGTATGTTATTACCATAGAAGAAAAAAGCCAGTCAGTCACTCAGTAGTGTCTGACAGTGAAGTCTAGCAAGTAAACGGGTTTCCTTGCATAATTTGAATATGAGGACACTGCTAACGTTTAAATTTCACAGATAGGACATACATGACATATTCATAATTGTGGGAATAGTTCTACAGCATTTGAGGTTGGCTGCAAAAGGGACATAGTACCTTTAATGTTGTTGTTGTTGTGTTATTATACCGGGGACCCGTTTCACAAAGCCTTATTTCAATGACAAATGACAAAAAAAAAATCAGTGACAAAATCTTTTGATAACCAATCAGAAGCAAGGATTTCAGTAGCTTATAACAAAAACTGTCATTTGTCACTGATGACAAGTTTTCTGAAACGCCCCACTGATCCGTTTATGAAAGTGCATCCAAGAGGCTCTAATTCTGTCCACCCTTCCCTATATCTGCCCCGCCAAAAATATGGATTGACGTGAGGCTTTCTTTCAGTGGGAGATCCAGGGGTGAGAAAGTGCCACCCCCTCATTTTATGCCCCTGGTGGCACTAAGGGGCAGCTGAAAAAATGATCACCATTCTATAACTTGTTCATTTGTTTACTTGCTTGAATTTGCTTTTTGTTTGAATTTTAGTTGTGTTTTTTTCGTTTGTTTATGCTTTTTCTTTTTTCTTGCGCTTTTTTAGATATAATTTACAACCTATAAACTTTGACCATTTCACCACAATACAGAATTTGATTGGTAAACTCTTGATCTTGATGACTATTGCATCATTTAAGATGTTCTAGTGAAAGTGAATTTATAAACTTATGTTTTCAATAAAAAATTAACTTGATTGTGTTAAGAAAAGTAGTATTAGGTTAAAATTAATTTACTTTCGAGATTAATGTAAGGAAAACTTATAGCGTATACAAGAATCAGGACTTTGTGAAGAAATTATTGGAGGGGCTCGTTTTCTGCGGTGTCTTCTTTCTACTTTTTATTCGCACATGTTTACAAAAAATATGCACGTGTGTGTGTTTGGATAAGGTTCCTTTTTTTTCAATTTGAAGGAGAATATTATCATGTACAATATGCTAGTCGCCATAATTGGTTTTACGCAGCAGAAAGAGAAAAGGGGAGAGGAGAGAGAGGGGGAGAAAGAGCAGAGAGAAAAATGCTCGAGCAAAAGTACCTCACTATCCTTCGCTGATAAATTATTAGTGTTTACTTTATATTTCGAAAAGATCCCTTTCAATTATCGTTAGCGGCTATTTGGACGATAATCATCGCAGTAAATAGCGATGTCTACACATCATTCATAATCTTTTTCATTTGTCCTCTCAAAAGATTTTCATCCGCTGATATTTCTAGCGCCATGTATTTCTGGAGATTGATGTTGTTGAACGGAGAAGAGTTTCAATCACATGAGCGTAATTGTAACAAGAATTTCATAGCGTTACGATGATCGCCGATGTAAGGAAATTCTTTGAACGAGTCGAGATGTTTGAACGGCCGCTCGCTGTTGGCAGCTCTTTAGTGATAATAAAAAAGCTGAATGAAAGCCGCTGGCACTCGTCTCTACCCATCCATCACCACGGGGGATCTCCGGGCTAGCGATGCGCCGCCGTTTCGCACGTGCCATTCAGAGCCGTCAAAATCTTCGGTTTAAGAATGGACGATTACCGTCATATTTAAAAGTCTTTAGCGTTGCTCATAGAGAAGGCAGACTTAGTCGTAATCAATTTCGGAGCGAAATCAGTAGCATTTCAGGCGATGAAAATACCAGCAAATGAACAACAAAAAGGCTAATACCGGTGAGGTTGGATAGCTGATATGGGGGGTCAGACGATACTCGTGTGGCGGACTTGTAGGCGGACGTTCGTCAGCACCCTGCTATTGAAGATGCGATGAACGGGCAGGCGACCCAACCAAGTCAATGACGAGATACACAAGGAAATTGGAGGGAAATGGTGATTTAAAAAAGAGATGGAAAAATAGTGAATATAATGGATGTAAAGCTTAGTTTCATGCTGGCCCGAAGCTGTGCGATGCCGTCCCCCTAAGCCGCGGGCTGAAAAACAACCATGCTTGAGATCGATTCCCCTATGATGAGGGGTTTTGGATTCATGAGTGTCTGCCTCAGATAGAAAAGATGTGATGACGGGATCTCGACGGGTCGCCATCACTACCATGTCTACCCTAACCAGTAGACTAACACCCTAGACCCACACCCTGAACGGGTGTCTCATGAATACTAAAAGAAAAGTCAGAAATCAAATCGAGAGGATAAATCGCGATGTCACCATACATATAGGACAGGCTGAGGCCAATGATGGTGGCTCTACATCCCATACACAACACCCCATGCACCTGCACTTGAAGGCTAGCTAACTACGGCATCAACCCGCTACGACGGGCGCGCGCATGGCACGAAAATGATTGATAGTTGTGATCAGTGATTAGGAGCTAAATATGAAAATTACAACTTCTTGTTCAAACAAGATAAGCACACTAGGCGACCATTGAACGGTCCCTAGTGCCTCACAGGGTATTCATGACTTCATAATAATGTGGCGATGCTTGATTTAATCTCCATGTAATATAGCGCTTCGATGTTACAAGTTCATTTCTTTCGTCTTTTCCTCTTATAGAATATATCCATGATTTGTGTTGATTTCTCGGCAACGAGCGAACAATTGTTGCCTGCGATGTGAGCGAGCGCGCGCC